TGGGCTGTGTGTAAGTCATGTGGGATTGGGAGAGGTCATGTGGACTGTGGTCTGTGGACTGTGATCAGTCATGTGGGCTTGGGAGAGGTCATGTGGACTGTGGTCTGTGGACTGTGATCAGTCATGTGGGCTTGGAGATAGGTCAGGTGGACTGTGGTCAGTCATATGAGCTTGGGGATAGGTCAGGTGGACTGTGGACAGGTCATGGGGGTACAGGGATAGGTCATGTGAGCTTGGGGACTGGGTTAAGCCTGACTTCACACGGAACAACACCGAAAGCACAAAGTTTTGAACAGCGAAGGGTTCTCCGAAGAAAACATCACGGCCTGACAGATGAAACTTCTCACGGACTGAAGGTTGTGGCTGTGCGTTTAACTTAACAGAATAGCAGCATGTTAAGGAGCCTCACCCTCCCACTGACCCTCAGTGACTCTCCGTCCTACATGACATGGTTTCCTGTGGCATCCTAGACGATCTGCTGGATCCGCACTTGGACTTAGTTCCAGCGAGGTTCTCTTTGAATTATTTATGCAACTGTTTCTGATGTCAGGCTCTAAAGAATGTTCTGCTTGGCTCCTGTCTCACCTATGTTACTGGTCACGCGTGGAAGCTCAGCCTGGTGGCACCTGAACCCAGGCTGGCTCCCTGACAGCTGTAAGTCGGTGATGGAGGACCTGCATTACTTGTATGTTTCTTTGGACAGAAGCATCTGCTAAACAAGAGTAAATGTGAACAAAAGGACACATTTATTCTATGCTTAGCACAGATAAGCTCACTGATAGACAGATACGTTATTGCTTAATGCACACCATCTGCGCACCATCGCTGTGAAGTAACATGTGCAAAAGTCAGCCTGAATCATGGATAATGATTAGCTATGTGCAGTGTTGGGCATGGTTCTGCCAATCCGCTAATTGGCAAAGCTAACTTTTTTGTTAGCAGATTAGCATTTCTGCTAACTCTGACAACCATTAGCTTCTGCTAAATTTAGTTCCGCAAACTGTAAATCCATTAATTTTTCGCAGATGAATAAAGTTTAAATGTTCAAAAAACGTTTGTATATCCTAAAATCACACATATTTGTTCTGGTCTGTTGTGAGTGTGTCTGCAAGTCTATCTGGAATACCGTTGGCTGACTATGTGTAAACACAAGACGCGATTGGTCGATAACTTGTCATATGTAAGGTAGTCTGGACTAAGTGTAAGTGGACAAAGATAAAGTTTAGGGTACCCTAAACTAAGCTGAAAACTGGGGCCTGTATCACGAAGCTGGATTTCTTGCTTAGTTGCATAACTTGTTGAATCTCAGGTACCCTAGTTAAGATCGACTTCATCTTCATTCACTTACATTTATCCCAGACTACCTTAAATATGATAAGCTATCTGGCTAAACAAGAAATCCTGCTTCGGCCCCTGGTTATTTTCCTATATTTTCCAGGTTCTGATTGACAGAGCTATACATCAATGAAGAGCTGAGACCCTCCTTCCTAGTTCTGGGTAAACAGCGCCATGTTTGTAGTCTCCAGTGGCTTCACTGAGGGCAAAAGGTCAGCATGAGCCATACACAGAATAGGACTCCTCTGAAAAAACCCTTCAATTTTGCAAAGGGAATATCATTGAAGGAAAATGTATTCTGGAGACTCTACAGAATCCAGTCATCCCCAGTTGGGTAAGTCCTACAGATCCCCAGGTAATCACTACAGAATCCAGTGATCCCAGTTGGGTAAGTCCTAAATACCCCCAGGTAATCACTACAGAATCCAGTGATCCCCAGTTGGGTAAGTCCTAAATATCCCCAGCTAATCACTCCAGCCCTGCATAACTTAATTGCTAAGCAGGTTAGAATTTCAGCTCTCTATGTTTGTATGTTTTTAAGGGTTTCAGGGCCCAAAACAAAACTGAAGCTAAACTCATATAATAAATGTTAGCGGTTATCATTAGCTTCCGCAAATTTTTTTTTGTGGTTTATCGGTTTAGCATTATTGAATTAAACTTAGTAGTTAGATTAACGGCTATCAAAGCTAACTTTTTGGTTAGCTGCCGACCACTACTGGATATTAGGTGCATGTGCAGTGCAGATACCAGAATTGCCTGAAGTGCAGCCCCTCTAGTGCCACACGGGGGCTTTTCAGCCCAGATGAGCAAAAAAAAAAAGAGGGGAAAAGCAGAGCAGACACAAGAGAAAGCAGCCTGATGGAGGCTCCCAGGGCGGGAAGCCAGTCCTGCTGCATGCAAGCACATTTAAATGCAAATCAGGGAAGTGCCACAGCCACACTGCAACAGGCAATCTGAGGCCTTCTTTCAGGTTTGCAATGGCTGACAACAAAATCGCCATCAAATCTTTCCAAAGAATGAGAGAATGTAGATAATTAGGTGGTTTCAACTGAAAGGCAGCCCTGGGGTAGGGGGGGGCATGTCAACATCGTGGTGAATGACTGCGTGCAATGGATGTTTCGGAACCTGGGAACACTTATCAGCTGTGCTCTCTCTCTGTCCCCGCAGACGGCGTGACGCTGGGGACAGGCCTGGCAGTCAGTGTGATGGGACACAGGCCCACCTTCGGGTTAATGGCGAATGTAAACACGCCCTTGTGACGGAGACCAGTGCATCACCTTTATTTAAAGACCCCTTAAACAAACCACCTCGCCAGCATGTCCATGGCGTGTCCCAGGACGACACGGGCTGTACGATGGAACCATGACACTCAGAAATAACAATAAAGGAGAAGAAGCGTACGGGAATTCCCCAGTGCGCTTCTGCGTAAAGCCTTCTGTCACGATCAATTCATGGCGGCTGGACGTGTTCTCAAACCTACGGGGAACCTTCCTCAACAGCCAGGCTCATTCTGGGCAGAGACCTGCATCCCTGGGCCCACTGGTTACTTCAGAAGACCAGGAGGAGTTCTCGTTGTGGTCAGCTCTGCACTTTCACTGCTAGTGACCCACTACAGTGGATGGACTGAATGCATGCGGTCCAGGTCAACAGCATTAAATCTGTTTGTATTTCACAAAATGGCATCACTGTATTTCAGTCCTTGCTTCTCTGTGTGAAGGCAGCCCTTAAATAAAGCTGCTCTTAACCTTTCAGCCTGCGGTGCTACAGAGTACCTTCATTCCTAAGGTCAGACTATATGCACTGAAAACAGTAAAACTCCCCTTCATTGGCCAGTCAACCTGCAGAGCTGATTAACTATAGGCTATGAAAACAGTAAGAGTCACCTTCATTGGCCATTCAACCTGCAAAGCTGATTGACTACATGTGATGAAAACAGTAAGAGTCACCTTCATTGGCCAGTAAAGCTGAATGGGGCCAAAACCTTCAAAATGCCCAGAATAACTATCCCTCATTTAAAATATACATTTAAACCCTTCAGTTAAACAATCATATCAAAATGTACAATAATTTCTATGAAACATGAAGCCGGCTCATGTTGAGTGATTAGGATAATTGCAACTGACTGGGATTATTCTTGTTTAAAGCCTCGTCTACATGAGAATTAATGACTGTATGCTGTGGCACTGGCATCCACACAAACCGCCAGTACAAACCCTGATCTTTGAGGCCCTTCTTGGTAAAAGTAATGAAACAGTTGAGTTTCTCCTTCAGATGAAGTTAGCCACTTTTATCATGTGACCGATCAGTGACCCGTCTATTCCCAGGCTTCCCAGCAGCCCCGCACACGGTCAGACTGGTTCATACGGTGCAGTACGATGTGTGGCTTGGTGGGTTAAAATGCTGTGCCTTTGATTAGAACGTCGCTAGTTCAGATTAGAGCTTAGATCGGGCCCAAAAAATTAAACCCGACCCTACCCGAGCCCGTGCACCTTGTGTCCGAGCCCGACCCGGTCCGACACATTAACTGTAATTATGAGCCCGAGCCCGATTTAAACCCGACTATTTTTTAATACGTGAGCCGTTGTAACAGACGTTCTCAACTACAATTCTAAGTTGTTTGAACTACAGAAATTAGTTTAGATTTATCTTAATGAAAAATGCAACAAGGACGAAGCATGTAAACTGCATTGTTTGTTTATTCAGAATGGATTTTTGAGACACGTTTAGAAGAAAAGCACGTTTTCACTTATCCAGTTCGCTTGCTGCTGGAACCAGTTTGTGTGCTCGGCATCGAACTTTAAGTAAAGGGTTAAGAAAAAGGTTAAATCCTTCCGTAAGCAGCCAACGAGGTATGTGTTAATTAAGTTTTAGTTAAGTTTGTTGTATTTAGCCATGTAAATGTAAATGCTAACTGAGGTTCGTGTTAACTGTATATGAATTCTCTAAGCTGTCTTTATTGTTATTTATGTTTATATTTCATTTGAATTTCAATGTTTGTTAGCTAATATTGTAAGTAAATGTGCTTGATTTTGTGTTTCCGTATCTGTATTTAGTTCTCACGTCTGCCATGATGGTGATAATAACGAAGCCACTGTCTTTCGAATAAACCGTCGGCTCAGTTAAATGCAAAGGACTCTTGTGCTCGTGTCTTACGGGAGGGAGCTACATTTATAATTATGGCATAGCTCTCCACCCAATTAGGCTAATTAAGTAATGATTTAAAAAAAAAAAACCACACACAAATGCTTGATCATGGCCCCGCCCGGCCCGGCCCGGCCCGGCCCGAAGATAGTGGCACGGGTCGGGTCGGGTCGGGTCTGGGCTCGGGCTCGGGCAGAGAATCTAAACTCTAGTTCAGATCCCAGGGCCGGTAGGGTGATGTCACTGTTGGTCCCCTGATCAAGCCCCTTAGCTGTCCCAGGGACCATCTGACCCTGCCTTCTCATAATGGACGACGGTATTGAAGAATGGTACAGTGCCAATGGTACAGTGCCAGGGCAGGACCCACATTTCTGGGAAGTCACATCCGCAGCACCAGCCTTCACTGATCTTCCTGCTGCTCCAAAGCTCTTGCACCTTCTTCTACTGCCCCCATCTTCACCTCAGGGCATCCACAGATGCCCCCACAGCACCGTCTCATATATTCGCGATCTAACAGACCTGCCGTTCTCTGGCTGAATTAAATGTGTCTCAGACTGCAGGTTAAAACGCCTTTCTTCAGTTACAGTTTTTCTTCAGTTTTTGAGGCCAAAAACACAAATCTTACAATAATGAAGCTGAGCTGCATGACATTATGGACTGGGTTGCTAGCTCCATTAAAGGGACGGTGCTTAAAGGGACGTCGGGACTCCCTAATGGACTCCTACCAGTCAGACCCCCTCTAATTGTCAGCTTGAATCTTTTCTTTCTTCCCAGCAATAAAACATCCACTTGGCCTTTAAATGTTAGCTGGTTTTGTCACAGTTGAAGTCACTTGTGACGCCAGACCACACAGTATATTAACATTACAATTACAGTAATTTAGAAAGTGAGCATGAGACAAAGGCCCAGCTTAATTACCTAATTACACTGTGGCCCCACTCAGCCCAGCAGTCAACCATCCTAAAGCTCGTCACCTTTGTTTCCCGTTCATTTACTGCATAGAGGTTCATCATCTTCTGGAAAGTTCCAAACTTTTAGTAATAAACAGGTGAGCAAAAATGAGTGGGCATCGCCCAGAACTGAAGAACTGACCAACACAGCGGCTTCTGGGTCGTGGGACTACAGGAGTCATGGGGGACCCAGTGCATTCAGTATACAGAGTGATCCCATAGCAAAAGAGGGGCAGGATCCTTCGACATCCACTTCACACACACAGAGCTGGAGCCCCAGGAGATTTACGGAAATGCCAGCGTTTAGGAACGTAACGACTGCATGGCAGGCAGCGGGAACACTGGGCCTGGGGCCCGGTGCAGTGTGAAGGGCCATGGCCAAGGCGGGCAGCCCTCCAGTGGCCCTGACGTGCCCTGTACGCATGAGAAGACGTGCCATCTACCCGTTGGGAACCAGAGGAAGGGACAAGCGCTCGTTACCACCGCAGGACGGCAGTACCGAGGGATACGGGGATCTCACACACACACATGCACACAGAAAAGCACGCAAAGGCTGTCAACAGCCTTGCCACCATCAACCTGAACCGAAAAGCTATTTAAAGGCTAAATACCTTCCTGTGTCAGAGTAAGGGTGGCTCACTTCATAACAGACACGGAGAAAGACGAAGCAGCCTGCATTTAGGTGGAATCCCGCCTAAGCGTCTTACCTTAATCTCCGTTCCTTTGGAAGATCCTGGGAGACCCTATAATTAAAAGATAAAAAGGCACACAATCACACACACATCCAAGAGGATTACTCTTTGATCTCACACAAGTGCTGCCTCCTAGTCTGAAGCAGGCTAATTTGTTTATTTCAGTTACTGTCAGCGGACGGCTAAAAGCATGGCAACGGCTTTGAGGGTCTCAGTTGACCTGATCCAGCGCAGTTAGGAATCAGAGCCAGCAGACCTGCTCTCCCTCTAACACCCTACTGCACTGTGCTGACGTCACCATGCCGACCCTGCGCACCAAAATGTTTATGTTTATGGATGATTTGCAGACTTGTAACTGTGGGCATCCTTGTCTGGCATTTGTGTGCCATTTTTCTAAACTCCTGCTGCGCACAGAACTAATCTGAAACCAATCAAATGTAACAGGATTCACCAAATCTCCGGACTTCCAGTGATGTGGCACATTGAACATGTGTCAGAGATCAGCATGCAGAGAACCATCCAGCTGATCCTCAACTTCTTCCTCATGGCAGCAAAAGAAACAAACACAAAGATCCCAAATCCACACCCTCAGCTCCTCAGATCGCCTTGGACTCATAGGCATTGCTGTGTTCTGGATTAATCATTAATGTCGGGCTGTTCCTAGGAGAACATCACAGAATAGCAGAATTTCTGGGAAGAAATCCAGCTGCACAGGGCTGTATATAAGACACCTGCAATAAAATCCTAAGCTAAAAGAAAAAGCTAAAATAATGTGTCCACAAGGCTAGGCTAAATTAGAAACCCTTCAAAAAGCTAAAGGAGACACCGTTCACCAAGCTAGGCTAAAGGAGAAACCCTTCGCAAAGCTAGGCTAAAGGAGAAACCTTTGCAAAGTCAGGCTAAAGGAGAAACCTTCGCAAAGTCAGGCTAAAGGAGAAACCCTTCACACAGCTAGGCTAAAGGAGAAACCTTCGCAAAGCCAGGCTAAAGGAGAAACCCTTCGCAAAGCTAGGCTAAAGGAGAAACCCTTCACAAAGCTAGGCTAAAGGAGATTAAGGACACTGAAGAACAGACAAAGCAGACTTACAGGTGGCCCCCGAGGCCCCGGCTCCCCTGGTTTCCCACGGCGACCCTAAAAGAGAGAGAGGGTTTGATGATGTCTGTCATGTTTGTCCCACTAAGATGACAACCTTTCCTGCTGTCATTTCTCTTTTACCATCTGTAGTTTTACTTAGAACCTAAACAGACACTCCCTGATCAGTTGGAACCTGAGCACCAATTGGGTAACATTTAAAAACAATCAATTTTTAAACATCTGTTAGTGATAATGTGAGTATTCCGGACATATATACTATTAAGGGACTTCTGAATTCAACACCTACAATGTTTCCTCCATAATGCACCATAAATGCGAGATAAAAAGTCACCAGCTGATCCGTTTCCATGGGCCTCCTAGCCAGAGATGGTGCGCACAACTCACTCCTTCAAGAACAGTCTGTTGTCATGGTGATGGCTTCTTGGTAAAGTGAGTGAAGATTTCAAATGAAGAAAAAAAGCTTAAATGAAGCTAAAATAAGAGCAGGGATGTGTGGGTGTGTGTTTCCATATATATATATATATATATATATACACACACACACACACACACACACACACAGTCACACAGGCTCTGCATGTCTGCTGGGATTTCATTCCATGTTCAGTGGAGGGAGGAGAACGGCGACCTCACAGAAGGAAGGACACGGCAAACACCTGTCTCTTCCTGCCTTCACTGCAAAAGTGCTCTGACAAAACCCACGGAAAGCCTGGCCAATGGCACTCCCCCTTCGAGGAATGGTGGGCATTGCAGGGGATACGGACCAGAGACAAGCAGCACAAAAAGCGGCAAAGCAAGGGGTGTCTGGGCCGGCGGAGGACGGGAAGCGTGACTCTCAGCCATCCGAGCTGGGAGCACGAGAAGCAGCTCCGGCATAAAGCCACTGAACGAGGAGAATGTGGCCTGCGTTCGCACGGGGACACACACTCGTCAGACACAAGGCGACAACGAGGGCCTGCTACTCTCTGCTGGCTCTACCCTGTCTGAGAAGAGTGACGAATTCCCAGGAGGAGTTAAGACGGCTAATTAACACTTGGGGTGGGGGTTCGCTAGAAAGACAGAGAAGACAGAGGCAGCCTCTGAGAGAGGAAGGAGTCATGGCAGCCTCTGAGAGAGGAAGGAGTCATGGCAGCCTCTGAGAGAGGAAGGAGTCATGGCAGCCTCTGAGAGAGGAAGGAGTCATGGCGCTAAGCGAACATTCTGCATCAGCCACTTACAGCTGACGGGGATTTCAGCCATTCCAGCCCACAACCAAAATTTATCTAGCAGGTTTCCTGTAAGAACAGACCTGTAAGAGACTAAACACATAAAGCACAGCTTTGCTAGTTAGCACTGTATAATACAACATTTAACAGTGCCAGCTATCAAAATACCCACCCGAATACGTGTGCATCCTCGCACACTCACACACACACACTAACACAGACTGTTCCAAGTAAATGCACTCTTGATTTATTTACTCTGAAATACCATCAGATGAAGCAGAATTTAAAAGCACATTTGTTCTGCTTCAGTCTAGCAGTAGGATGAGGATGAAACAAAGTTGGCTTGTGCTGCCTTTGCAGTGATCTGGAGAGTGTCAGTGTCACTGGAGAGTGTCAGTGTCACTGGAGAGTGTCAGTGTCATGCTGCACAGGACACACCACCCCAGGTCGCACTGCGTTGTGAGTTCAACACGCTGCTCGTAACAAGCCCTTGGGATCCCAAGCGCTGTCCCACCATGGTCCTACCCATCACACCTGGTCACATGGCCTCCTTGACCAGCCAAGAAGAGGTGAAAGCCAGCTGAGTAGAAACAAGATGAATGATAAACGGGACACAGCAACCAGACCCCACATTATTGTTTGGGCTCACGGTGTGAAACCCAGGTTTCCAGGGGCGAAGTGCAGGAGCAGTCAGGGGGTACAGGGGTGGAAGATGAAATGGAGAGAGGAATAGAAAGAGAGAGCAGGAGAGAGGGAGGAAAGGGAGGGAGATGTACAGGAGCAAGGTGGATAGAGGAAATAATTGAAGGAAAAGAGATGGGAGTGAGAGAGAAAGACAAAATGAGAAAGGGTAGGAGAATTAGTAAGAGATAGAGAGAGTGACAGAGAACGAGACAGAGACATAGACAGACAGGGAAAGAGAGACAGAGAGATAGAGACAGAGAACGAGTGACAGAGACAAACAGAGAGACAGAGATACAGAGAGAGACACACACACACAGAAAGAGACAGAGACACAGACAGACAGTGAGAGAGAGACAGAGACGCAGAGACAAAGAGGGATAGAGACAGAGAACGAGTGACAGAGAGAAAGAGACATACAGTACAGACAGAGAGTGACAGAGAAAGAGAGACAGAGACAGACTGAAACATAGAGAGACAGAGAAAGGTAAAGTGACTCTCACTGCCATTTGTCTGTTAAAATTTATGTATGTCAACAGAGGTGCTTATGAGTGAGTAAATAAATTCACTCAGCCCACGGGTAAATATTAGAGTGTGAGAAGTGGCTTCTTCTTGGGCTGTTATTATTAAATATCAGGAGAGGAGAGAGAGGAAAGGAGAGAGAGGAGAGGCAGCGTCACATATATGCCAGTACGAGTGGCGGTAAGGTCACTCCTCTGGGGCTGCGCTGTAAAGCCGGGCTCCCCGCTACGCCGTGAAGATGCCACTCTACACACAGTGCATTCAAACCTGCCCCAAGATGACAATCAAACCCCGCCCCCAGGTGACATTCAAACCCTGCCCCCAGGTGACATTCAAACCCCACCCCCAGGTGACATTGAAACCCCGCCCCCAGGTGACATTGAAACCCCGCCCCCAGGTGACATTCAAACTCCGCCCCCAGGTGATCACAGCCAATTGTCATGGCATGTGGCGCTCGCTCCCACTGCGCTGCCATAAACTTGACCGGAAATATCAGCAGCATATTGCGACGGGAAGACAGATGGGGCGCGGGAAGGCGTTCCCAGAGCCTCTGTAATCCCGCACATCCTAAAGACATTCCCATTTTCCCAGGACCAGACCACGAGGGTCACCGTGACAGAATCGATGGCGTTATGGACACCTGGCCGGCTTGGCCAAGGTCCCCTGGGGCTGGGAGATGGGAGGGAGCCCCTAAATCAGCCATGGCTGCCCAGCAGAGCTCAGTAATTACTGTACATCATTCAGATGAATTATGAAAAGTCAGCCTTCGGTCCACACAGATACAGCTGTAACAGAAGTTACATAAAAGTGCCATAATGTTGTTGGGAAGCATTTCCGGAAGGAAGGTGACCTCTGCAGGAGGGAGAGGATATCCTCTTACAGCCATCACATGCAGGATTGTTAATGTGAGTGGAAGAATTCTGAGGTGCTGTGACTGTCTCCATTCGCGCAGGATCCACACATACATGTTATAATATCCAGTGTGATTGTAGGGACACCTGAACACTTCACTTTGCCCCATTTCTCCTTAAACAGCTAAAGTCATTGCAGCAGCAAACTCATCCACAGATGTATCAGAATATGACCAGCAAACGAAATCGAAATCGACAGCCAGTAGAGGGTGTAGTGGCTCTAGTGACACTGCTGCCCCGCAACTCCACTCTCCCCGCGACTCCACCTCCTCCCTGTGACTCCACCTCCTCCCCGCGACTCCACCTCCTCCCCGTGACTCCACCTCCTCCCCGTGACTCCACCTCCTCCCCGCGACTCCACCTCCTCCCCACAACTCCACCTCTTCCCCGCGACTCCACCTCCTCCCCGTGACTCCACCTCCTCCCCACGACTCAACCTCCTCCGTGCAACCCCGCCTCCCCCTGGCTGCCCGTAATATCCACGTAGCTCTCCGGCTCACACAGCAGGACTTGTTCCAGTAGCCTGCCAGGGGTTAAGCACAGCGCCTGACAGTGACAGGCAGATGGCAGTGAGGCTGACGGCAGTTTGGAGCGTGCTCACACGCAGCTTAGTCTTTATTTATTTATATCGCATATTGTGCATTTTATCTGCCCAATCTCTAAACATTTGAAAAGGACGCCTGGCATTCTGGCTGGCGAAGCCCTGCCACGGTTTGCCAAGGGCTCCGCTCACGGGTGCGGGGCCGCGCAGTTCATGAATCCTACCACTAGGTGGGGAACAGAGCTTACCTTTGAATGGCTTTGCTCCCAATGAGACCGATTTGGTGGGGGGTGGGGGCAGGTATTAACAAAGCAGGGGCTGTCTTGCTGCGTGCGTGATCCAGGTCAGAGTTCCTGGTTCAGTTACACTCATGGGAAATCAGTTTGTGTAGAAAGAGTGTGAGCCATGCAACTGCATGAAAAATCTGTGCCACAGCATTTCTGAAGCCATTCTTTTGTGTTGCAAGCGATTTCGGTGCCACAAGGTCATTCCTCAGGATCTGACCTGAAAACATTTAAATAAACACACTCACTGCTTAATCCAAGGACACATAAGGGGCGGTGGGACCGCTGGTGTCGAGTCTGACCTCTCCGCTCTCCCAGCCTTTCAGGAAAGACGGCGCAGGTTGTGACAGACCTTTCCAGAGTTTAATAAGTGGCAGGAAGCTTTTCTCTAATGGAGCGTTATAAAATCAGTGTTTTTATAGGGCGATAAAGGGTCGACACTGAACTCCATTTCAATGTTTGCTTTTCAGCATGAGGGATGTGGAATAAAGCGCTTTAGGGTGGCGAGTGCGTCGCCACGTTCACCCTGCACCTTTTCATCCGCTAATGGTCGCTACAATTGTCTGTGGCTTTTAACGTGTTGCATGGCCTGCGGGCAAAAATCCATTCACAGATCTGTCGCCACGCTGCCCCCCTATCATTGTGACAGGCCTCATATGAGGGCACTATACAGGGGTGGGGCCACAGGAGCACTGGGCTTATCTGAAATCTGATTGCCCCCCAGACTACCCCCTCCCCTGTCACCCATCGATTCAAAACATATTATTGGTTAAGTATAATTCCTTCCCCTCTTATGCCCCCCACCTTAAAAAATTCTTAGACCCATCCCTGCTTAAACAGTGTGAGCACGCAGCATGTGACTGACCACCAGCCAGTCCTTTAAGCACACGTT